TAGTGAGCTGGGCCTATGCCCACCCTGGGTCCCAAGGCCGGAGGATGCCTGCAGCAGCGGGCCTTGGTACGGCCAGGTGGGCTGGGGCCGGGTTACTGGTGTCCAGAAAATGCTGTGGACGCCTCGGGCTGGTCCGCTTTGCGGTCTGCACTTCTCCAGGGGCCCCAGAAAGAGAACAGGGGCTGTCCCATTTTGCCAGCCGTTTCTGGGGTTCACGAACATCCAGCTCTCCCCACAGCTCCTTGGGGTGAGTAACGCCAGAGCAGGGCCCTGACTTCGGTCCACGGCTCCGCTGCTCAGCCCAGAGCAGGGCGCCCGACAGGGACTCAGGGGCACCGACTGTGCACGAAAGGCTTCAGGGTCCTCGAGCTTCTGAAGGAGGAGCCAGAATTTCCCAGTGGGACCCGGCAGAGCTCCGGAGCGGGGCTGGGAGGGAGACTGGGGTGCCATGGGGAGCAGCAGCTCCCCACTTCTCCGGGCCTCAGCTCAGCAACGTCGGGGCTCAGGAGGACATCAGTGACCACCACACCCGCGTGTTGCTCTCATCTCACCCCGCAGCTCCCCCAGGGTGCACCGCGGGACACCCCCCCACTCCCATGCCACGTGGGAAGCAGAGCTCAGACACATCTTTCTGCACCATCACCCCACTCGCGTTTCCCAGGGGTCCACTGAGGCTGGAGGAGTGAGTCAACCCACCACGAAAGAGGAGAACCCGATCAGATGGACACCCCATTTTGTGGCCCTGAGGAGAGAAGCCCGAGGCTCTGTGGTCTGGGAGGAGAGGCTTTGGGGCGGACCCCAGGGCCTGATGGCTGGGGAACTGGGGGGAGCAGGGGTTTGCCGCACCTGAGTGGGCCGGGCGTCCCGGCTTCCCCACCACTTGGGCACCCCCAGCTGGGTGGCCTTCCTGCCCTCTCTGGCCTGGTCCCCAGGCGGGCGCTGTCCCCAGGGAGCAACAGGAGTAGCCCCTCCTGGCCTCCGTTAAGGAGCTAGGCCAATGCTGCCCGAGGTCTCCCTGGTCGTTTGGGACAGTGGGCAGTGCTGGGGGGGAGGTCTGGCCCAGAGGGTCCTCTTGTGAGGCTGGCGTTCAGAACCCACTGCAAAATTAAAGCCTGAGTTGTGGCCGCTGCTGTCTAGGCTGGAGCCCCTGCCTCCCCCACTGCACGGCTCGTCCAGAGGAGCAGGAACTCGGGGTGCATGCGCTGAGGACTGCGGTCAAAGGAAGCGGGAGCCTGGCTCCCTGGGGGCCGGCCCAGGGGTGCGGAAGGCTGTGAACACATCACTGCCTGCTCACCATGCAGACGGGTGGCTGTGCTTGGCGGGGAGGCTGGCTCAGGGTCACCCCGACGTCTGCTCAGAGTGAGGGCCACGGGCCAGCGACCCTGAACTGTGTCCCTGGGCCCCCAGGTGATGGCGGGAGTCGGGTGGGAGCGGGGAGGAGGGCGAGGCCCCTCGCTGCTGGACGTTGGGCTCAGCAGCGCCCAGACCTCACCGGCCTGCCCTTCTCGTTGCCTGAGAGAGTCTGCATGCTGTGGAGATGCTCACAGTTCAGGCCCATCTCTCTGGCGGGCCCCCCAGCTGTTGAGGTCAGCAATGCCAACACAGCAGAGAGGCTGCAGGGGCGTCCCAGGACCTGGCATTCTTGCCCACGCCGCCCCCGGGGCTCCTGAACCTGAGTCTGGGCAGGTCCCAGCCTCCCTCCAACACCCTGGGCAGCACCCCAGGGCCTCAGGATAGCAGTAAGCACATGGTCCTATCCTGAACACCTCCTCTGTGCCAGGCAGGGCGCCACACCCTTGACCAGCATCTTGAATCCCTAGGAGGCTCTGAGCAGGGTCGTCATGGTCCCCTTCGGCCAACAAGGAAACACAGCCAGACACAGCTCGCACGATTAGAGGTGGGGAGCGGGGCGGAGCCGGGGCACGCCACCCGGGTCGGCGTCTTGTCTGGTCACCCTGCTCCCAGCCCACCCCTGCTTGCCTATGGGTGGCGGGGCGCACGTGTCTCCCGGCCCCCCGCTGAATGGAAGCCCTTGAAGGCAGGGACCTGGGGGGCCTCGGCTCCATAGTCCACCTGCCACTGGGGGGCAGGGCCGCCCAAGGACACAGGGATGGCTCCGCGCGGCAGGCGGACTGAACTGTCAGGGGCCACTTGGCACAGCCTGGCTGAGCGGGTCCTGAAAGTGGGAAAGCGAGGGATGGGGTCTCGGCCCCGCGGCCCCCAGCTCCGGCACGGCCGCCCCCAGCGTGTCCTGGGCAGGTGGAGCGGACGGTAGACACGGCGGGTGCTGTAGGCCAGGTCGGGGTGTGGAGGGCGGGGGTCCCGGTCAGGAGAAAGGCACGGGGGTGCCCCATTCAGGGGCTTTCTGGGAAGGCGGTTTGGGACCCCGAGGGACGCCCAGCTCAGGGGCAGGCTTTTCTCTCCCTTAAAATAGCCATGTGCAGAAGCCGGGTTTGCAAAACCCCTTTCTGCTGCTTGACAACTTTATTCTTTTTACCTTCCTCGTCTAAGGCCTGGGCACAGCCCGCGGAACCAGCTTAGAGCTGGGGACCTGTGCAGGAGGGCGTCCGGGCCAGAGCTCCACTCACCAAGCACGTGCGAAACCTGGGCGCTGGGCGCTGGGCAAGGGCTCTGCCTGCCGTGTTTCGCTTCGCCCTCACAGGAACCCTCAGCACGAGCAGGGAATGGACGCGGGGTGTCCAGGTCTGCCCGGGGCACAAGCAGGACCCGATTCGGCCTTGGCCCAGGACCGCGGCTCAGCCCTGGGATCCACAAAACCCTATGAGCATTTGGTAAAATCCTCGTGACTCAGCTAGACCCCGGGGGGCAAACAGAGGCTCAGAGACTTGGCAGGGACGCACCTGTGCCCGGTGACCCAGGACTGCCCGCCCATGGCAGGCTGGGCTCCCGCCCCTGCAGCCGCACGGCTGTCCCGGGCATGGCAGGGCGGGCTTTCAGGGCCAGGCATGACTGTGGGCCCAAGGTTGGGGCGCCTGCCTGCCAGGGGTCCTTCCCGTGTCCACAGTGCCGGCCACTGCCCAGGCCTGAGGGGGCCACAGTGACCTGACCCCCACGGCCGCCAGATCGCCGAGGCATCCAAGTGAGCCGGCCACCCCCACCTGCACGAGCTTCCCACCCACACCCGGCCGGTCCCGGTCACTTGTCTGTCTGCTCCTTTGACACGTCTGTGTCTATTATGTGCTGGCGCCGACCCCAACTTCCGAGACCTCCCCTCTCCGTAAGGGGCCCGTGGAAGCCCAGGGGTCGACAGAGCAGTGCCACTGTGGCTTGGGGGGCGCCCCCGCCAGGCCTAATCTCAGGGCGCTGTCCGCCTGGGTGAGTCGGGGGCAGGAATGGCCCCGAGACGACACCGGGGCCTCAGCGCTAGGCCCCGCCCCCTTCCCTCCTGCCTCCTGGGCTCTGGGTCAGACTGGCTCCCCAGCCAGTGCCTGCCCCCTCGAGGAAACTGGAGATTCCCACCCCAGGCTGCACCTGCTCCCCCTGGGGGCTGGGGGCCGCACGGATTCCCCTGGAAGCTTCTGCTCAGAGGTCCAGGTGTGCTGAGAATGCCCATCTAGAAGGTCCTTAGGAGCTGCCGATGTTGCTGGGCCAGGGAGCTCCCTAGGAGGACTGCCATCCAGAAGGACGGAAGCCACTTCCCTGGGGCCAGCCTGGATGCCCCGCCTCTGCGCTGTGGGGGCACCGGCCTGTCCTTGCCCCACGGTCCCTCGGCTTGGGAAGCCCCTGGGACCGCCGCCCGCTTCCTTCCAGGCGGCCGATTCCTGCTGACCCTGATGGCTGATGTGCGGGTCTCTCCGTCTGCAGGAAGCCTGCTCCCTCCTCTGCATACCCCGCACTTTTGTATAAGCCGCCACCTTCCTGCCAGTCCCCGAGAGGCCCTGGGAGCCCCTGCACCGTCAGCCTGCCCTTGATGCACAGGCTCCGGTAAACAGCAGGCGCTCTCTGCGTACCCGTGCATGGAGTCACTGGCCACAGCAGAGCCCCTGGCAGCCAAGTGCTGGAGGAGGCAGACGGAGACTTTGGAGCCTTTGATGCATTTCCGGGAAGAGGATCAAGCTGGCTGTGAAGGGCTCATGCCAGAGGGGCGACTGGAGGGGGAGACTGAGGCTGCTGAGCCCAGGAGACCCTGACCACATCTGCTTCTGCTCCTGGCCTGCTGTACGGCATCAGGAAAGCCCCACTGTCCCCAGAGCTTCGGTTTACCGCCTGCGAAAGCAGATGGGGACAGTGCCTGCGCCACTGGTGCTCCGGGGAGACAGCGCAGGTCACATCTTTAAGCCGCACCATCATCCTTGACTTCCCCCGTGGCTCAGCGGGAAAGAATTTGCCTGCAATGCAGGAGACACAGAGGATGTGGGTTCTATCCCTGGGTCTGGAAGATCCTCTGGAGTGGATCATGGCAATCCACTCCAGTATTCTTGCCAAGAAAAATCTCATGGACAGAGGAGTCTGGTAGGGTAGAGTCCCTGGGGTCACAAAGAGTTGGACACGACCCAAGCGACTGAGCACACACACATGTCCCTGGAGTCAGAAAAGTTGACCCCACTTTACAGATAAGGAAACTGAGGCTCAAGGACAGACTGGCACTCGCCCAAGATCAGTGACAGGCAGAACTCAGGGCCAGGCTGGGGGGACAGGAGACTTTTACAGAAACGGCCACCTCTGGCATTGCACAGTGATTGAACAAGCACCCTGTCCAGCAAGAATAGCCAGTCACTGCATCCTGACTCCAGGACTGGAGGGGCTGCTGCATGCTCTGGGGAACAGAGGCCTGGAGGGGCTGCCACGTGCTCCGGGGAACAGGGGCGCGTGGGGGTGAGTGCCAGACGGCTCAGAGCAGAGGTCACAGTCAGCACAGACTTCGGGGGAGCCAGCAGCCCTGGTCTGTCTGGGAGTCAGACTGACCTGGGGGTGAATCCAGGCTCCTCGCCCTGGTGCCAGGGCGACCACGGGCATCGTGTCCTCCTCTTTGGAACAAGATGTTCACGCCAGTCTCCGCGAGCATCTGTGGGGTGTGGGCAGTGAGCCAGCCTGTGCCGTGTGGAGGTCACAGCAGGGAACAGGGCTGGGGTGCCAGCCTCTTCCTGGTCCTCAGGGAGCGGGACTTCCGGGCAGCCCAGAGCCTGGCCCAGAGATGTGGGGAGCCCTGACAGAGCCCTGCTGACTGCCTCCCCTTTGTGTTTTGAGTACTGTTTTGCTGCATCCCTGGGGCCCTCCTGCCTCACCAGCCCCTCCGGGCCATGTCCCCTGCCTCTCCCCCTTGCCTGCCTGCTCCCCAGGCCCTGCTCTGCCTTGCACCAGGCCTGCAGCTGCCGCGGGGCCTTTGCACGCTGCCCTCTCTGCCTGCAATGCACTGCTCTCATGGGCTGTAGGGCTCCTGCCCTCATTCCACGCAGGTCTCTGCTCAAATGTCTCCTCCTGAGAGACCTGTGACCATCTGTCCAAAATAACCTCCCTCCCTACCGTGGCCATCCCGTACCCTGAGAGTCTCATGCTTCCAGCCCTTGCCCCTTCACACATCATGTACTCATTCACTGTATGTCTCTTCTCCGGGAATCCGAGTCACCGAGGACAGGGCTCTGTCTGCTTTGCTTCTTGCTGTGTCCCAGTGCCCGAACAGTGGCGTGCGTTACCTCAGCTGAGTGATGAGTGAATGAGTGAACCCAGCGGGCAGGCACAGGAGGGTGTTGACAAGGCCGTCACTGGGTCAGTTCTGCTTTTTAAGAATCCCCCTGTGGCCGTGGGGTGGGTGGCTGGGCATGGAGGCAGGGGAGGAGAGGCCGTCTGGAGGCTAGCATAGGCTTCAGGTAACAAGGGCGGTGGAGACACAGAGAAGGGGGTGACTGGGAGGCAGGATGGGGAGGAGTCCTGGGGACCCCAAGGCTTCGGGCCTGGGTGGCTGCGTGATGGGGAACCACTGTCTCTGAGAGGCGGCACGGGGTGGCCCAGGTCTCACCTCCAGGCTCGGCATCACCCCGGGTAAGTCACTCAACTCCTCTGTGTCTCTGTGCTCGCTGACAAAGTGGGGGTGATGCTGGGACTCCCCTCGTAAGTGGGAGCACTAACCTACGCCCTGAGGAGCAGCAATGGCTAATCAGGGTCCAGGCCAAGACGGAGGAACTGGGCTGAGATTTGCCCTATGGCCTGAAACAACTAAGTATCCAGGACAAAATCTATGAAACAACGGTTCCCAAGGCACTGACATCAGCTGATGAAGGACCATCCTCAAGAGATGGGCAAGGAATGAGGAGAGTCCAGACTGAACAGGCTCCCCACCTTGTGAGTCTCCGGGCTGCAGGGCAGGGGAATCCAGGTGGGGCCTGGTGGTCCCCCTGAGTTGGGGAGAGACAGCTGAGTCCCAGGAAGCTGCGGGATGCCACTGCACACGGCAGGGTCCCAGCAGGAGGAGCTACACAGGGAGAAGTAGGAATGCCTGCAGAGGGTCCCCTTGAAAAGCCAGCTACATGCCGGTCAGCACGGCTCTGTGGGTGACACTCCTGGGGTCAGAGAAAGGAACTTTTTTTTTAGGAGAAAGAACCATTTGAAAGGATTCTAGGGAACAATGTTGGAAGCTCACACAGGTCCAGGAATAGTTCCTGCTCCTATCAGAGAGGAAAACGTCATAATTCCTGGAGCCTTGGGTAGAAAAGTCAGAGGGCTTTGACTAAACGTGCTTCGTTCTTGCCTCCCAGAGCATAACAGCTAGGGTTGAAACCAACTATTTTCAAGCAACTACCAAAACCCAGAACAAAGTTCACAAACACGTACAGGGGTCTAGCACCCAACAAGGTAAGATTCACAAGGTTAGCGTCCAGTAAAAAATCACTTGGCATGCAAAGACAAAAACAAATACAATCCACAATGAAGAGAAAAATCAGCTAACCCAGAAATGGCACAGATGATAGAATTAGGAGACAAGAACATTAAAATAGTTATTGTAACTGTCGCCCACATGTTGAAACACTAGAGAAAAAATTGGACACATTAAGTAGAAACATGGAAGATGTTAAAAAGAACAAAATCAAATTTCTAGAGATAAAAAAAGGTACAATGTCTAAGATGAAAAATATACTGGATGGGGTTAACACTGATTTACATAGTGCAGAAGCAAAGACAGGTGAGCTTAGAGACAGCGATAGAGACTATCCAGAATGAACACACGGAGAGAAAAGACAAAATGTAAATAAGTAAACAGAGCCTCAGAGAGACGGGGGAAACTTCAAGTGACCTCGTATACGTGTAACTGGAAATCCTAAAGGAAGGAGGATGCAGAAAAATGCTCAGAAGTAGTCCTGGATGAAAAATTTCCAAAGTGGGTGCAAAACTGTGGACCTACAGACCCAAACACTCAGAAACACAAACACAGGAAGCACGAAGAGAACAACACTGAGGAACAAACCAAATTCCTTAAAACCAGGATGAAGACAAAGGTGCCTTTAGAGAAAAAGGCACGTGCCTCGTTTACAGGGATACAGGTAAGGACGGCCGACTTTGCACCGGAGATGATGAAAGCCAGGAGACAGTGGGCAGCATCCAAAGAAGGCACCCCAACCTAGAATGTTCTGCCCAGCAGAACAGCTTTCTGACATTACGGTGAAATAAAGGACAATTCGAGCACGGTCTCCTCTTCTAGACGAGAAAGCCCTGGAGGGCAGGGCCCACAGCTCAGCTCCTTGCCGGGGTACACATCTGCCTGGACCTATTGATGGCGGAGCCTCATGTTCTCACTGGGTGTGGGTTCCCAGGGACCCTCCCTGAGCAGTGGGCGGGGAGCCACGTGGGAAGTTCCCTGCTTTCGGGGAGGCTGGGTGGTGAGGGCTTGTCTGGGGGGAGGCCCAGGTGGAAGGGGCACTGGCCCTTCAGGGGCTCAGCCCACGGGACCCCGGCTTCTGGGGTCCGGGCCCTGCCACGTGAGCACAGGGGGAGGGGTGGGGCACGCTGGCAGGACCACCTCGTGCCCTGTTTCCCCCTCACTCATCCCCACAGGAGTGTGAAAGCGCAAAGGGGATCTGCATGTTTTCAAAAACAACCAACCAAAAAATACATAAATTTTAGCTGTTCACAAGGTTACAGGCAGTTTCCATGGCTACCGTTGCAAGCGGCACGCACTGGGGTGAGGAGGTGGGGCTCCCCTTAACCCAGGAGAGCAGGGCACTCACTCGCACAGTTAATTTTGGCCCAGGAGCCAGGCGCCTGGCTGCTGGGCTGGAGGCGGGGAGGGGGGCAGACAGCAAGCCAGGATGTCCCGTCCCCCCGCCCCGGCTGGCACAGACTCCGGTGGCTAAGGAGAACAACGCCCGTGACGTCACTGCTCTCTCCAGTGTAAGCTGACTTTTCAGGCGGGGAATCCCCCCACACCAGCAGCCCTGCGGGCTCGGACGGCAGCATGCCATCCTCCCCGCAGGCGGGCACTGACGCCTGGGACCAGAGCCACCCAGGAAACCACAGGAAATAAAGGCCTGGGCTGCTGGGGCACTTGTGAACTCACGCCCGGCACGCCCGGGGTGGCCCTGAAATCCCCACCCCCGCTGGAGACCACCCAGAGCAGATGGAGGGGCCAGGCCAGCGCCCCCTGCTGAAGCCAGGCCGGGCCACCTGCCCTGGAGCTGCGTGTGTGTGCCTGGCGGGGGGGCACATGTGTATCTGTTTGTATCTGTGTGCACACGTGTTTACATGTGTGTGTGTTTCCTGTGCTCCTGTGTATATACGTGTGCACATCTGTGTAGGTCTGTGTGTGTGTGTGTGGTGGTAATGGTGATTAAAGAGCAGATGAGCAGAGGCAAAGGTAAGTCAGATGAGGCAAAGGTAAACCAAGCCACCGGGCTTTTCCAGACACAGGCCGGACCGTCCAGCACTGGGGGTGGGGCTGTTGCCACCACTCTGTCTGGACACACCCTCTAAGTTCAGGGACCCTGGCCCCTGCCACGGAAGCCCCCCTGGGCCCTGGCCCTTGCCTCTGACCAGTGCAGCTCATTTAAGTCAGGCTCAGTGTCTGCCTTGTGGCTTCAGGGAGGGTCTGTGGTGGGTGTGGGGAAGGAGGAAGGTGGGGGGCAGAGGGTGAAGGGTGGGTGGGTGGCCAGGGGACCCGTGGAGCAGGGGCGAAGAGGCTGCTCTGGACTCAGGGACTCCCAGGACCCAAGCACCCAAGTCCTGCTGTCTTAGAAAATCAGAATGTCTAAGCCACAGATGCCTAGAAGTGGAATCCCCCCAGCCTCCTCCTCCTAGGTTCAGAAGGGCCTTTGGACATTACCTGGCTTAATCACCTGCTCCGTGAACAGTAAGGGGACTTTTCTCCTCTTGAAATCACAATTCATCCAAGGTGGTCAACCCAAGGGGTCGGATCTCCAATTCTCCCCAGGGGGTGGAGGAGGACAGTGCCACCTCTGACACTCAGCCGATCGATAAGCTTTCTGCTCCTCCCTGGAGTCACCGCTGGTTCTCTCCAACTACAAGCCACGGGGACCCCTGAAGAAGGCCCCCCCCCGGCCTGTGCACCCCTATCCTGGGACAGAGGCCTCAAAGGGCAGCAGTCAGCCCCTGGCCCCACCCTCACCCCTTGCCCACTCCCTCGCCTCTTCATTCGTCTGATGGTTTATGGAGCTCGACGGCCCACCGGGCCTGCCGGCACCACGGCTGCAAACTTGCTGCAAGCCCCCCTCCCACCCTCGGCCACCGCAGCCGACTCAGCAACCCCTCAGCTGGGGGCGCTCAGCTGCCCTGGGCAGTCTTCCCTGGCCCAGGAGCCAGCGAAGACCCTGTTCAAAGCGATCTGTTTATATCCATTTTCCTTTAAAAAGAAACTGGGCTCAGCCATTTTTAAGTGAGTGTAGGCGTGTTGTTGAAAGGGCCCGTCTTGCAGATTAAAGGATTTTTTTTTTCAAAATCGGGAGTCGCTGTCAGTGAAGAGTGGCATTAACCCCCAAGGCCTGGCCAGGAGCCGAGGCCCCACCTAGTGAGGCCGCGAATTCGGGGCCGTCAACCAACACCTCGTCTGATGATGACGCTTCTGCTGCTGGAGGGCGGTGGGTACTGCATGGGACAGACGCTGCTGATGGCCGGACCCCTGGGTGCTGGCCGACCTCCTGCCAGCTTGGCTGACTTCCTGTCTCTGGAAAGTTCTGAACCCTTCCTTCTCCAAACAGGTTTGGAGTGTCTGGAAGGGAGACCCAGATGGGAAAATAGATGTTGCTTCTGACTTGAGATGTTGGGGGGAGGGGGGTGGTCCTCAGTCCAGGGAAAGTCGGCAAAGGCCACTGTTTCCTCATTGTCCCCAGCAGATGAGGTTGACCTGGAGAATGGCACAGAAACATCCAGCCGTCCGACAAAAATCTGTAAGTGCCCCTACTCGGGTGCCAGGTCTGGGCTCTCTGATGAGCCAGACCGACAGCTGCCATCCTTGACGGGCTCCTGGGTTGTAGATGGAAGGAGGCCAGAGGGACAAGCCACAGAGCCGGGTGCTGACCGGCCAAGAGCGTGTCCTGGACCTGACCTCCTCGGGAGATGGCGTGAGGTCAGGGTCGCTTCCCTGACGGGCAGACCTGTGCCAGCCATCATGGGTCTTTCAGGCAGGGAGGCGAGGAAGCAGGACCCCCAGGAACGAGGGTCTCGAATGTTCCAGAATGGAAGTAAGTGTGGCAGGGGAGGTCAGTGATGAGGTTGGGGGTGGGAGCTGGCAGGGTGTGTCCCCTGCAGGGTCCCTGGACCATACCAGGCATCTGGGAGCTGGCCTCAGCGAGGACGGCTTTCAAGGTGGTGAAGTGGTAAAGAACTTGCCTGCCAATGCAGGAGACGCAGGATCCGTGATTTCAATCCCTGGGTCAGAAAGATCCCCTGGAGAAGGAAATGGCAACCCCCTCCAGTATTCTTGCCTGGAGAATTCCACGGACGGGGAGCCTGGCGGGCTGCAGTCCCGGGGTCACAAAGGAGACGCCTGAACACACGCACGAGTGCCAACCACACGCATGGAAAACCTGAATTCCAGCACGACAGCCATTCCACAGCCACCCCCCCCACCAGGCCCAGAGGCCCCAGAATCCAGCAACAGGCTGCATCTGTCACGCGCCTCTGGGTGTGCGGGGTCTGAGGTGGGTTCTTCACTCTTCACTCTTCACGAATCCTCACTGTCAGGGGTGGACGGCCGCCCCTGTCTGTGTGGACCAGGAACCTGGGCACAGAGAAGTTCAGTCACACAGCTAAGGTCAGCAGCTGGAGGCGCACGTGCTGGGTCCTAAGACCTGTGCCTGTTCTGAGCTTCCCACTGCATCTGCAGCCCTGCCAGCCCCTGTCCACCCCCACCCCACGCCCTCCTCCCTGCCTTCACCTTCCCTCATCCTGACGTCTAAAGGCACGGACGCGGAGGGCAGACAGCAAAACCCCAGACACAGCCCAGCGGTGACGAAGCGATAGTCGCTCAGCCGCATCCGCTCAGTCCCCATGGACTATGTAGCTCGCCAGGCTCCTCTGTCCATGGGATTCTCGAGGCAAGAGCACTGGAGTGGGTAGCCATTTCCTTCTCCAGGGGATCTTCCGGACCCAGGGATCGAACCAGGGTCTCCTGCCTCGCAGGCAGATTCTTTACCGTCTGAAACACCAGGGAAGCCAAACCCACCGTGAAAGTGATTATTCAAGACACAGTGTCATAAAACAAAATACTTTTGGGGAAGAGAAATCTGTTTAGTAATTAGGGGGAACTCTCCCATGTGGGAAGTTCCACGAAGGTACAATTAGAGTTGACTATGTTTTTCATTTTGTAAACGGGTTTGCACTGAGCCAGGAGCCTTCTGCATAATGAGCGCTTTAACCAAACAAACCCTCAACACAGGTAAACACCAGACGCTCACAAAGTGACAGAGGAGTGGTTGCCGTTTTTGTGGTGGAATGGACTCTTTTCACCGTCTTCCTCCAAACGAGGATGGGGTCACTGCATCTTGGGATCGGCCCTCTCAAAGCCAGGGTTGGTTCTGTAGTGTTTCGAGCGGAGGCTCCGGCAGGAAAAGACATGCAGTTTCTGACTGTACATGCAGGTGCTTCTCTAAGCCAGCGGCTCTGCTGGGCTCCGGGAGCCGTGGCTGCGCGGCGGGGAGGGCCCTCTGTGGAGAAAGGCTCCAAGGCTTGCCTTTGAACTGAAAAGTAAGGGTTTTAATTTTGTCTGAAGAGAGTCCCTCAATGGACGGAGTGTGGGCACATTTGCCAAAGCCAAGTGGGAGAATTTGGAAAACAGGATGTAAACGTGATCTTTCCACCTGCAAGGGGAGGCCCGGGACAGTGTTCCGGATAAACTAACGATGCTTCCCAGGCCGCCCCCATCCTCTGCTGGGTCAAACACACCCCCAAGGTCCCCCCTGCAGCCCCAGGCTCTCCTGCCTCCTCCCACGCTTGGCAAAACAACAGGCGCTAACACCAGGGGTGCGTCGGCAGCAACTGCAAACGCGGCTGCCACAGCTGGGCCGGGGGCGGGGGCTCTGCAGTGGGTCCTTCATTTACTGCAGCAGAATGCCCTCAGCACAGGGGGCAGGGTGTGTGCGTGCACGTGTGTGCCTCTTCAAGCCCGGCAGAGAGGCCAGAGGATGAGAGAGGGGGCCGTGAGTGGGGAAACCAACTTCAATCACAGCACATTCTCCAGTGCTTCGAGACAGGGAGAGCCCCAGGAAGCAGCCCAGGTGGTTCTCAGGGGAGCAGAGAGGTGGGGAAACCCAGAGCATCTTCAGTGGGTCCCCCATTACCAACCGACGGTGCCCCCCCATCCCAGGGACGGCAGAAACGCACCATCTCTCCAGCATGCCTGCTCCTCTCCACTCCAAACTCATCTCTCAGGGCTTAGCTCGAACACCACCTCCAGGAAGCCTTCCCTGACTGCCCCAGCCCACAGGGTACCTTCCTCTGAGCCCGGGACAGCTCACACCCAGGCTACGGTCCATGGAGAACTGCCCTTGTCCTGTCAGCTCATTCAATTCGTGCATGTCCCTCCCCCGGGGCCCTGCCTCCCTTCCGCCCCAAGCCATTCCCTGCGGGGATTACTGAACACATCTGTACAAACTACACATCACAGACAAAAACCTGCTAAGAGGCGGCCGGGTAACTCGATGAGAGGAGGGGTTGCTGGCGTGGGAAGATGCTCCAGACCAGCCGATAAAAGGACGAGGGAGGCAGAACAGCCCCGGTGATGCCCAGTGTGGCTGCAGCACGCTGACGGCTATGCTCAGGGCTGGGGGCTGCAGCTGGAACGGCGCTTTTACTTTGTGACAAAGCTGGATGGCTTGATTTTTTTTTTTTTAACAGCAGGCATGCGTTTATTCTATTTAAAAAACTCTTCCATGTAGATTACAATGAATATACGTTAATGAATAACGTGAGGAGCGTAAGGTAGACCGTCACCTACAAGAGCCTTCTGCAGGCACAGACCTTTTCCTGTTCTGGATTAGAGTATGTTTTCCACAACAGTGTGTCTCAAACTTCGCTGAGCGCCAGAGTTCTACAGCAGGTCTGGAGGGAGCCTGAGAACCTGATTTCGCAACCACCAACCAGCCCCCAGGGATGCTGAAGCTGCTAGTCTGCGGAGGACCACTGCTCCGGGCTGATGCTTGGACGGTTGTTGTTGTTGTTGCTTAGGCACTAGGTCCTCCTAGAGAACGGGTCTTCCCAACCCAGGGATCGAACCTGGGTCTCCTGCATTGGCAGGAGGACTCTTCACCTCTGAGCCACCCAGGAAGTGCAGGCTTGTGGACGGTATGGGTGACTAAATGCAGCAAACAGGGGTAATAACAGTCACAGAGAGAATTCAGTTTTGCAGGGACCCAGGCCCGCACACAGGCCCAGCTGCCAGGCAGAACCCGCCTGTGAGTGCCCCGGGGGCCACCTCTGCCATTACTGCTGCCTGCAGAGACCCTGCACCTGGGCGGGTAGGATCAAGACGCAGGTGACCGTCAGGGAACCGTGTGGTCCCAGTATGGGGTCTGCCCGCTTCTCAGCCGTGAGGCCAGCCTGTGGCCAATCCTGGACGTGACCCCCAGCGGGAGCCGCCCCGGGGCAGCCCTGGCTGGGGAGTGAGGTTCTTGCCAGCACGCAGTGATGTGTGAACTCGACGTTATTATTGCTGCTTTGTGAATGAAGAACCTGGGGTCCAGAGAGGCCAAGCAGCTTCACCGAGGACACACAGCGTGGACACAAACACAGCTCCAGTCGGCCCCAAGGGCTGTGCTTGTGCCTACTGGGCTGCAATGCCCGCCTGTCCTCAGCGGCGGGGGCAGGTGGCAGGCCGGGCCGCAGCTCCAAGAGTCTGGCTTGAGCTGGGGCCGCTGCCCAGGCCCCTGATCAGCCCCACTCGGGCCTCCGGGCTGGTCCAGCCCTCTCTCACCTCTGCCAGCTGGGAAAGCTGAGCCTGGCACCTGCCTGCCTCTCCCTCTCCTGGCCCAGGCTTCCACTGCTTTCCTTCTGGCTGATTGCCGCAGTCTCCTCCCAAGCCTCCCTGCCTCCAGCCTCACCCTCTCCCGGGTCCCCTCCACACTGCACCCCTGAGAGCCAGACCTGCCTGAGGTCCTCCCAAGGCTCTTCCCACCTGTGGTTCCTGGACACCTTGGAGAAAGCCCACCCACAGAGCTGGGCTCACAAGCCTTGCCTGATCTGATCCCCACCTGCTCCCTACTTCCAATCCCAGGGGTCTCACCAGGACTGCTTATTTAATCCTCCAAGGCCCCCAGGGAATTAGGGGCCACAGTCCCCACTTCACAACCGGCAAGCAGCAGTGCTGGGCTTGGAACCCACGCCTTGGTCTGAGTTCACGGTTCTTGCTTACCCTCTGCCCAGGACAAGCTGGCCTGTCCACCCGGGTCTCCTCCTGCAGTTCCTCCATCCCCTCCTCTACCCTCAGACGCCCCCAGGAAGCGGGTGGGGGAGGTTCACCACCGTGAGCCTCTGCAGGGAGGGGACCTGATTCCAAAGGGAACAAAGAGCTTTTGCAAAGACAAATAGGCGCAAGTTGGGCACCCAGGAGCCTCTCTGCTGCACAGTGGAAGGAGAGAAGCTGGCAGACTGAAGATGCTGGGCTTGTCAAATCCCCTCTGGAGCAAATCCAAAGGGACTGACCCACCGCAAAGAAAGCCAGCGCCAAGGAAGGCAACAGAGCCAGGCAGAGAAGCCCAGCCGCGTGGCCTCGGTGGGGCCGACCCTGGACTAGCCTCCTGGCACCGGTGACGCGGCCAGGACTCTCAGTTACCCGCCATGTGCTGGGGGCGGAGGCAGGAGCACCCCCCTTTTTGCACATGAGGAGGCTGGTGATTTGCCCAGGGCAGCCAGAATCCACTCTCTCTGCCATGGGAATTGCCTTTTCACTGATGCATAGACGTGGACCTGCTACTCTGGAGACAGTGGCAGGCTGGGGGCTGCCGTGGAGGACCGCACAAGGGCCGGCTGCCACTCTGCCTTGCCTCCTGCCTCGAGTCAGATGTGATTTACTGAGATGTAATGAATCTCTCCCGAAGCCCGGTCTGGCCCCTTGCCCCTCGCGAGTGCTGTAATCAGTCCTCTGGGCTCCCGCTGCCATCACTCCATAGAGCCGGCCCAAGTGGCCGGAGCCCAGAGGCTTGTCTGCGGGAATGGGGCTCCGTAGCCTCCCGGCCGGTCGCACTGCCTGGCTCGTCCGGAATCAGTGCCAGGAGTCGGTGACTTTGAACCAGCCCCCAGACACACAAGACCCCACACTCAAGTGGGGTTCTCACTTGAGAGGGAAGTGGCGTTAGTGGGATTGGCCCCAGGCCAGCCCTGAGATTTCAAAACCCCTCTGAACTCCTCTAAGACTGGAATTCCTCCCAGCCTTACCTGCTCCATTTGGGGCTGCGATGAACGGACTTACAATGGCCCAGGGGGACGTGACGTGATTCACCCCATCATTTCACAGATGGGAAGGTGAGGCCTGGAGAGAGAGCGACTTGTCCAAGGTCACCCAGAAACGTGGATCAAACTGGGCAGAGAAGTCCCGGCTCCTCCGGCCGTGGCTGCCTTTCCCCGCCCAGCACCCTCATTCATGTCTGAAGGCCGTGTTGACGTGCCGTGGTGTCTGGGGGCTTGACGCCTTGGAGGCTGGACGGGAGCTCTGGGGAGCTCTCCCCTCCCCAGGCTAGAGAGACAAAGATGGAGAAGCGGCAGCCCTTCTGTGGGCAAGAGCCTGGAGCAGAGCATCCGCTCGCTCCAGAAAGGCCAGCAGGGCTCCCCACCCCTACTCCTGTGTATCCTGGGAGCTCCGAGGCTGGGAGAGCCTGGAGGTCCTTTTCAGACCCCAAACCCTTCAGGAGACCATTTCCAAGCTTTCCTAGTGAATCCCTGGGATTCAGCCCCTTTGGAAATGCACTCCATGGGGAGACAGGAACTCAGCAGGATCCAGGGCATGAGGATTACTCTGTCTTTTTCATCTTGTTCTCTAGGTGTCTAGCCAGCCACTACCACATAAAGGAATGAATGAAGAAAATCCCACACTGCCTGGGCTCTGGCTTCAGGAGCAATACGGATTTTTCAGAAGCCCCTAGCACACAAGCTCTTTAGAAAGCTAGTGGTCAGCAAGCATGGGGTTAAACAAGCAGGAGGTACTCACACCCACCTGCCTAGATAAGAAGAGCCGAGGTCACCAAGACCCAATGCCCCCCAAGGAGGAGGAGGAGGGTGGGAAGATGGGCACGTGCGTTTTCTTGGCAAGCCTGAACTTTGGGGGGTTGGATGTTCTCATTGTTCCTAGAAGCCCCCCCAAAAGCCTGGCCTGGCCTGCGTGGAGAGCATCGCTGGTGGAAGGCCAGCAGGGGTCCCTCCTAGTCTTCCATGCCAGCTTCTTGGGGGCATGCAAGGGGGCTTGCTGGGGCGATGGCCTCCAGGATGCTCCCTGATTTTCCAGATGGGTCCTTGAACTTGACCCTCAAGATCCTAGTCTCAGAGCTGCAGGGGGCTGCCCACTGGCAGATTCCTCATGCCCACGTGGCCCTTGGCCTTGGGAGTCTGGGACGTGGAGTGAGTTGAAATGGCAGAGCTGGGAGGGTGGACAGGAAACCTCTGGATTTTCAGTGTTTGCAGAGTCTTTCCATCCCCGACTGGAAGAACCCAAACACCAGACTGGTGCTCCCCTCCCCCACTTCAGCTGAGATATCCGACAGACAAAGGTAGGTGTGAGGCGGGTAGCAGGCTGGTGTGTCTGAGGCCCGCTCTACCCCTTACTGGCTGTGTGACCTTGGGCAAGTGGCTAAACTCCCCTGGGCCTCGGTTTCCTCATCTGTCAAGGAGGGCTAATGCCCCTCTTCTCCTGGGTGTTGAGTGCCTTGAATGGGTGACACGGAAGGTCTGGCCCCAGCAGGGTGTCTCGCGGGAGGCGGATCTTGGTAAAGAAAGGGCTCAGCCCCTGGCGGCAGAGAGAATGGGGCCAGGCTCCGCTGGGAAACTTTCCCTTTCCAGCATTCCTCATCCCCCGGCTGGGAGGGAGACTAGGCATCCTTTGGCACGGTGGGTACCCCCCGTCTCTTCCTCAGGCCCTCACCGCCCACCTCCGGTTCTAACGTCCACAGCCTCCTTGCCAGGCACGTACTTTGAGGGCATCCAGGGATGGGACGGGTGTCAGTGGCCCCACAGCTGCCCGGGACGGCAGCCTGGCGCAAGGCAGCCCAGGGCAGGCTGTGGTGGGCGCTTCAGACCAAGTAGGCACTGCGCCTGGGCTTCCCCGCCTGCCTCCTCTGCCCACGCGCCCCGTGACCCGCTCACCCGCTCGGCCCTTACCTTGAACCATGGGAACGGCGCGGCCCCAGCTGGCCGAGGACTTGGGCGCACGTGACGGGGCGGTCCGGCGTCCGTCCCAGGCCAGGCGCAGCTAGGAGCGGCCGCTCATGCCCAGGCCACGGCTGCGGCGCCTGCTGGGGCCCGGCGGGCGAGGCGGGCGCGGGAGAGGCCCCGGAGGACCGCGGCAGGCGGCTGCGTGCCCAGGCGGCAGCCCCTCGCCAGCGCCGGTTGCGCCGCGGCTCCGGACGCCAGGCTGGCTCCCGGCGAGCGGCACGCGCGCTGCTCCGGCCGCGTCCCGGGCGCGGGGCGCGCGCGCAGGCGGGGAGGGCGCGCGCCCGAGCCGAGCGAGAAGCGCGCCGCCGACCCCGCGCGCGGCGTCGTCGGGGGCTGCGGGGAGCGGCCTGGGAGCTGTCCCTGGTGCTGACGGCGGGCGCGCTCCGGGCCGGGGTTCGCGACCTCCCGCCGGCCTGGGAGCGACGCCACCCTCGCCCCGCGCTTTGTGGGCTCCCTGGCTCTTCGCCTGCTTTCCGTGCGGTCCCCGCTTCCACCGCGCTGAGACTGGGACCCGGGCCGAAGCTGCTTGTTCACCAAGAGTGCAGCCTTGGGGCAAGTCCCTTACTGGGGTGCCCTCTGGCTCTCATCTTCAGCATGGGGCTAGGAGCAGTGCCTGGAACGTCGGTCTGAGGGTGAAATTCAACCACGTCCAGGTGCCTGGCGCACAATGAGTGCGTAGTGAATGCTTGCCTTGATCCCGATTCCTCCCCCTGCCCCCATTTTCTTGGTTAGCAGGCACACAGCAAGTGAGAGAAGGGGTCAGTGCTGATCCTGACCTGGACTGGCCGGTGTTGGGGGCTTGGTAGCTGTCTTTGGACCTCTTAGAGCATTCCTAGGGGAAGGGAGTGGGCTTCTTCCTCAGGACCTCAAAACACAGACTCAGGACCAACGGTCAGAAGTTAAAGTGAGGCAGCTTTGGGCTGGGTACCAAAGAAAACGTTCTGATGGAAGGTCCTTGACCCGAACAGAGTGTTCTGTGACCTCTATCCCCACGGACACTCCAGGCTGCAGCCACAGAGACCCCGAACTGGGAAAGTTCTGGAATTTAAAAGGCTTTGAGTTAGAATGTGTAAGCACTGAAAACCACGTCAGGCTCTCTGAAAGCACTGTTTGCATGTTTGCTTGATTGACTTTTGCATGTGTGCTAAGTTGCTTCAGTTGTGTCCAACTCCCTGTGGCCCCATGGACTGTAGCCCACCAGGCTCCTCTGTCCATGGGATTCTACAGGCAAGAACGCTGGAGTGGGTTGCCATTCCCTTCTGCAGGGGATCTTCCCGACCCAGGGATCAAACGGGCATCTCTTATGTCTCTTGCATTGGCAGACAGGTTCTTTACCACTAGCACCACCTGGGGAGCCCTTATTGGCCCTAAGAGAGAGAGTGAAAGTTGCTCAGTTGTGTCCAGCTCTTTGCAACCCCATGGACTACACAGTCCATGGAATTCTCCAGAACACTGGAGTGGGCAGCCTCTCCCTTCTCCAGTGGATCTTCCCGACCCAGGAATCGAGCCAGGGTCTCTCCTGCACTGCAGGCAGATTCTTCACAGCTGAGCCACCAGGGGAGCCCCTTATCGGCCCTAACGTTCTCTATAAGAAGATATACCCTGGTAGGAAGAACATGTAACTTCACCCCGTTCTCGAGATGAGAATGCCGAAAACAGACAGAGGAGGTAAAGCAACCTCCAGGGAGTCCGTTCCCACCTTACAGACAGGCTGAGGGCAGAAGCGTAGGCAACTTGCTCAGAGCCACACGAGAGGGCCAAGAGGTGAGTGCTTACAAACCAAACAGACAGGCTCCACGGCAGCCTGCCCCTGTCGCCTCCTCTGGCAAGGGTCCCTGTCCGGTTTTCCAGAGTTATTCAAGCAATTTTGACTCTGGAGAGCTTCCTTATAGCAAACCAGGCAAGTAGCTCGTTCCTCTTAACTAACGAGAAGAGCTGCAGCCTACCCTGTGAATATCTCTGTCCCTTCCAAGCAGGGTAATTAAATGTCACCTGCCTCATTTCCCAGGGGCCAGTGGCTGTGCTTAATTCATTAATTGACTGTGAGCCGTGCCTGCCTCCACCAGGCACTTATCTCATGATAAACATCATTATGTGCTTAATATGTTCTAGACACAAGGCTGAACACTTGTCCTGCACTGCTGCATTTACTCCTCTCACCAGCCCAGTGAGATGGAGACTCTTGGTGCCTAAGTTTGCAGCTGAAGATTGAGGCTTTTAAAAGCAGCAGGCTGGAGTTGGGTCAGACCAGTTGTCAAGCATGGGCTCCTAATAGTCTCCTTCCAGATTTTCCACGTTGTCCCCAAACTGGGAAAAGAGGTGGAAATATGAATAGAAATTCCATATAAGGAGTTAGAGACAGAGAGAGAGAGAGGAGACCGAGAGACAGGTGCAAAGTGGCCAGCCATTCAGGGCCCTAGCAGTCGGCATAGGAATCCTTTAAATCAACATTCCCAGTCGAAATCCTCGTTTTTGACAACTGAGCAACTTTTTCTTTTTTTTCAAGATTTCTTGGATCCTAGCAACTGTGTGCCAGGAATTTTAAAAGGAGCGTCACTGCCAAACCCTCCTTACCAACCAGTTCGCAGGCCCTTCCTCTTCTCCCCAGGCCTGCTTTTCATTCACTCTACGGAGTTTCACAGCCGTGGATCTGGGCAGCTGCAAATCTCTGAAGCTGATTCAGGCTCTGGAGCTCTTGACCTGCTGAAGCACTGGTTTCCTCCCAGGCTGTGCAGAGAGATGGACTCCTGGTGCTTGTGGCGCTGCAGTCCAAGCCCATTTTATTAAAACCAGCCTGAATATCGCCCCCTGACATGTAAGGCAGACACCTTATCCTCAGTCTATAGATGGTAGCAGAGGGTGAACTAGATTACCCATGGTCATGCGACTGGCCAGGAGGTGGCTGCACTGAATGGATTTTCTTTGGATAACCATGCCTTGTGGTCACCACCAAACTGGTTCTTTGTGTGGCCAACGCGTGGCTTCATTTTAAGCAAAAACCTCATTTCCAAAAATAAAAATGGGGGGAAATGAGGATTCATTGGTCTGACTTTATAGAAACAATTCACCTTCAGATTTCCTTAAATAGCAATTTCTCCCGTGCATGAAAAAAAAGGATTTGAGCTACACACAGTTCTCTCAGGTTGGCCAAAAACGGGCCCGGGGGCGGGAGGAACAGCACGGCGCCCCCCTGCTGGCGTTCCCTCCACTACAATCTGCTTTTCTGTTGCATGGCAACTTCAGTCTACGGCAGCTACTATGTCCCCGGCTCCAGCATCTTTCCGCGATGCAGAGCTACATGGATAGCACTCAAATCCAGCAGATGGCCAAGTTGGTCGAAAAAAATCCCAGCACGTTGGATCACGCATGGCAATTCACAAAGGTTCATTTCCCACTAAGAGCAAACGGGGCTCTTGGAAGTTGAGCCCGACACGTAAAGACAGGACTTTCATGGCCACATGCTTCTTGGATGCAAGTGCGGGTAGCCTGCAGGGGAGGGACCACAACTTCACTGTGGGGACTCAGCCTTCTACTCACAGCCACATCGCACACACAGCCACATGCAAGTTTGGGTAACTGAATTAAGTTATTGGGAGCCAAGGGTATTTGCCCAGCTGTGATCTCTGGCCTGAATTTGGTCCTGCAGAGGAGCAGAGTGCTCGAGGAGTGAAGTTTCTGCCAGGATGTGAGACTAATGGCCCAAAGCCTTTCCAACTCTTTGGATATCTTCAGGAGGGGGCGAGTTTGCTGTCTCCAGAAGTGTCCGAGCAGCGGCTGGCCTTCACTTACAACAGGGATGAGCTGGGTGACCTGGCCCCGGGGACGTTTCCAGCCTTGGAAGTCCATGAGATTTCAGAAGGGGCAGCCGATGGCCGCCCCCAGGGGCTCCCACTTCCCTCAGCCTCTGTTTTGGCTGATGGTGTATCTTGGGCCCCTAGAAGGGCCCCCTGTTGGGTTTTCCAAGGTTGCGGGCGCTGGGCCAGATGACTGAAGTGCTCATGGAAACCGTCCATACCTTCGGGCAGTTGCTGCATTAAACTTTGTTTGCTCATCCAGTTGTTTAGTTCTCTCGGTCTGCTCTCCCTGTGGGTTCTGCCAGATTGAATGGGCTGGCGGCAGGTTCGCTGATGTCACTATATCTAGGTCGCAGGTCAAGCCCATTCAGAGAACAGATAATTAAAAAAAATTTTTTTTTCGCGATAGGCAGTGCCATGACACTGGGATTATTTTGTGATGTGGGCTAGCAGAGTGTACTCACATCCTAGATCAAGGACTTTGGATTGGATGCCGTTTGGACGTGACCAGGAGAAAAGCGAGGCATCAAAGTGTGTGAGAGCAAGAAGGCTAGGCGACCAGGCGTGCAGGGGGTCGGGAGTGGGCGGGCGTGTGTATGCGTGCCAGTGTTCCACACACGTGGTGAGTGGGGTGATCCCAGTTGCCCTGGTTGGAACAGACAGCCTCGTCTGTTTGAACAGACATGACTGGTGGTTCTTAATTACCGCAATGTTTTAAAACGTTGTGACAGCAAGCTTGATCGTTCGTTCTTTAGCAGTCTTCAAGGCTGCTGAGCGAGGAAGCCTTGGCACTGAGTGAGGTGCTCTGACAAGGGTCCCTCAGGGCTCCTTGAGCGGATCTCAGGACAAGCCCTCCCGAGGCGGGGGGCCGAGGCGGGGCCCCGGAGGCATCTTGTTTCCTCCGTTTCAGACCTTTGTTACTTGTTGAGACGCTTTAACAAGAGCTCTTGGGATGCGATCCTGTTTCCCAATCAACCCTTTCTGCAGCAGGAGCAAACCCAAGCAGTGCATCCATCCATCCCTCCGTTCACGTGCCCCGGGGAGGGTGGGGCAGAGACAGAGCCAAAGCCCCTGGTATCTGGGAGCTCAGAGCTGGGTGAGGTTTCCGAAAAGACCAAGCTCCTCACGTTGGATGGAGCTGGACCCAGGACTGTGCTACAAACAGCTACCACATACGGGGTCTTCTTACCACTGAGCCCTCCGGACAGTCCTGAGAGGCGAGAACTCTTGTTTCACGTGACTCGCTCGACAGGAGAGAGCCTGAGCCTTGGGGACGGGGGTGCCCGCCGGGCCGTGCGGTGACCGGAACCCTGCCGGCCCCCAAGTGCACACCAAGCCCCCGCGCTTCTGAGCGGCCCCCTCTACCCTGCTTTGAAAAAGGACATAAGAACAGAGATTCCCCGTTTGGACAACGTGAAACTAGAAACAAGGCCGTCTCCTGTCTCCCGTCGGCTTCTATCAGCGCAGGCTGTAGTGAAGGCTGAATGCTGCTCATGCTAATAGAAGACTCAGCTGGCGGCCCCTCCGTGACTGGCACTTACAGACCTCAGGATGTGACATTGACCTTTGCGCGCGG